CAGTTGCTATCCATCGTGCCCAGCACGCATACGCACCTCGTTAGTGGTCCTCATTTCCCAAAATGGCACCCACTGGTGCGCGATGTAAACTGGTATTCAGTACAGTACGTGGCCGGTTAACGCTTTTGACTTCATTTAACCATCAGGACGGCGCATGTCGCTCGTTTGGCTATTTTTTTAAGGTAACAAAAAAATATTGCAGGCATTTACCTCTCAACAGCTTTTCCAGCGCAGTAAGTTCTTTTTTTTTTATACTTTCATCACTAACTGAACTGTTGCATCTGCAAGTTAATATTACAGCACCAAGCAGTGGTGCACGGCTCTTCTAGTACGATTTTCTGATAGTTTCGGCGGTACTGTTAGTTTTTTGCCACTCAGTAGCATTTGGCCTTGGGATCTCTAGTTCGCGCCTGTGCAGCATAATCCACCACTCGAATTCGTAACCTGCAAATTGATTCACCACTTACCGCTGCTCTGCATCACTATTGTTTTCAGTGTTTTATTATTGTGCGTGTGCGCTGCTGCAGTGCAAAATATATATTGCCGAGATTTTTGTTTGTGCAAAAGTAATTGTGTTTTCTGGAAATTTAAAATCACACGCCTACAAATCACATACGGATGCATAAAAGTTCAAGCGGGAGGCTGTTGGCATCTTTCTAGTTCCGCTGTGCAGAACTGCTCAGAGTGCGTGGCCGCTCCGGTTACTTGGTGCATTCTGCCATCTATTTTTTATACTCACAATTTTTGCCCTAAACGCTACATAGCGGTGAAAGAATGGTAGCAGACTCAGTAGTGTCGAAGCACAGTAGATGCAAATTCTAGCGATTCAAGTAACGAAGGCGTTGTGTGTCACATTGCTCATCTAAGCTTGTGCAGTTCTGGCCAAGTTCAGGCCGGTTAGTGAGACAAGGATCAGAAAGGTATGCACCAGAAACAACACTATAAAATTCGAGTTGAGATAGGTCTGAAAAGAAAAGCAGAATGTGCTGGTTTTAGCACCTCGCTTATCTTTGAGACTAGGCCGTAGCGGCTTAGCCAAATAAGAAAGTCGTTGCCAAGTGTGGCATGGTAAAGAGAATGATAGAGATGGCAGGCTAGCAACAGTGGCGGAGTCGAAAAAAAAAAAAAAAAAAACTAACCGTTTGCTGATATTACATGATTCGTTGAGTGCAGAAATGAAGGACAAAATCGACTGTATCTTTTTTGATATTTTGCAAATACTCATGAGTATTTCCGTAGTGATTTTGATCAATACGGTAAGCGACTACCGTAATTTATTGGCAGGAATACATTTTATCGTCGCTGCCGTACGCCTCAAGTCAATGCAGTAGACAGAGAGAGATGAATGGAGAAAATGTGAAGAGAAGAGTCAGAGAACCAACTGGACGATGATGGCTGACATCGATTTTGACGAGAAGCTCCCGCCTAAGGAGTTTTGTCGTCCAAAAATCGAGTTAATTGCTCCCAGCTCCAACAGTTACGTTTGAGGTTCCTCGTAACTACGAAATTACTGCTAGGCAATGGAAAGAAATCTAAAAATTGAGCGCTTAATCGTTCGCAGCCTATCAGGTGGGAGAAAAACGAAAAACTACGAGAATTACAATCGCCAGTGGAAAGTAGTTGCGGCTCAAAAGTGAATGCAGGAAAAAACACTGCTGTGCTATACCAAGTGGTAATATTAAAAACAAGCTTAGAGATCGCATTACGGACAAGATGACGCGGAGGATAATTATTGCCATTCTAAATGGATTTGTTCGCATTGCGCGTCAGTGTTCTATCATTTTTAATACACAGAAGCTAAACAGCAAACTTCTCCTGAACTCGCCAGTGAAATGAAGCGCGCACTTCATAAGAAAAAAAGTGGAAAGATTCCCGTCGGTAGTGGAATTAGCACTGAGTTCATCAAACCCGAAGCGCAGAAAATTTAAATGACTACCGTAGTCCGGCAACTTGACTGAAGGAACAATGTCCGACAGCTGAAGTAAATAGAAATTGTTCTTTCATGCAAAAGATCAGTAGAAACAAGCTTGGCTCAAACAGCAACGAATCAGTCGGTGCGACCATGCGTTTTGCGCGAATTATGAAGCTGTCAGGTCGTTAATAGTCTGAATGGTTATTACTTACAGTTTAACGTGTGTACTCATGTTGGCAATGTTTTCGCCTTTTCTTGAAAATTCGCGAAAAAGGGACGTTGGCTGAAGCAGTAATACTGCATCATGAGCTACGTCAAATCTTAACCTCTAGCATGCGCTATTATCGCAAATTTTGCGCAGATGGAAATGAATAATTTCCTATGCCTGGTTGCTTATTGAAAATGCAAGCTGGGCAATGAACAGAATGTCTAGAGAAAACGATGACGAAATTGGAGCAAAATGCACTTATTATTGAGACAGAAATAGAACCAAGCATTTATCATGTCCGCGTTCAGGGAATTCAGTCTTCAAACTGAATTTAGACCACACGTTAATACAGAATGTCCTTGTTAAATTTTAACTTCGTAGCTTGTCTGGTGTTCGAAATCACCACTTCAGTACAGTAGTGGTGCTTGCCCTGAATCAACTACGA